AGAGACTTTCGACTTTAGGATATACGAAATGGGACTGTCCCAAATTGACCGCTTATGTAGTGAAATGTTCTTTAGACGCATTTTTCTTTAAGGCGCAATATCGGACTGCTTTATTGATTGATCACTGGGGTATAGAAATAATCTGCTGCACGTATATTAAAAATACGCTAGGAAAGCCACTGACAGCACTCCTTAATGCTCAAAGAATCATAAGTATCTTACAATTTCCTTTCGAAATTCAGCAACAATCTCAGGCAGCGAAGTACTTACATAGTATTTTTGGACACCTTCGTTTAACGTTAGAAATATCACTTATCGAAATACAAGTGACTCCGCTTCACTCTGTAATATTTTCTTCTCCATACTGATATTACACTATAGTCACTCGTTCTTATTAAATGCAAAAATAGGTATGCTTATGCGTATGCTGTATTTTCCTATATTTTGCTTTTCTTTCCTCTTTCACTTCGAAAAAACATATTTAGCGGCGCAGCCTCATTTCCGCCAGTATTTGGAACAGGGTGGGTGATTTGTAGTATATATCTAAAAACTCTAACATCGTTTTAAAGGTTGCATACTTTAAGGCGCAAGCTAAATTATATTCTAACAGTGGTGGGAGTTAATCTGAGAATCTACAATGATTTTTGTAAATTTTCTGGTTATATACGATCGCTTAGCACGTACAAGGACCAGCAGGAGACCGCTCGAAGCCGAAGACGCGACCCATTAAGGGGCTGGCATATGCAGAGAATATAAGTTCGCTGTTTACATCTTCTCATTATTGTAAGTTCTCTGCTCAAATTGCAAGAAGAAAATGCTCAACTTGCATAGGGTGCCATATTTAGCCTAATATATAAACTAATCTGATTAAAAAAAAATTAAAAAAAATAAGTATAGAAATAATTGAACAAAATTCAGGCTGGATGAGTTTCGAACTCGAGCTATATATATCTTTTCGGAAGTCATTGTTCTTGGTTTTTACCATTTTGCCCACTTAATTACACCAGATTACAAAAAGATTTATAAACTAAACAAAAAAAAAAATATTAAGAAAAAATTAAACATAACTACAATTTATGTTACTGAGACCAAAAATAAAAATTAAAAAACATGCAAACTACATAATTATCAATTGCAAGTTCTAATGTTAGATCATTTTCGTGGTATAATTCACATTTAATTACATAATTTGGTAAAACGTTCACATTATTATGGCCGAACTATATAAGTATAATAAGTACTTAAGAGATTTCCGGCCGTGCTTCTGCTGCTATTTGTTATATGCGCCTTGATGTTTTCTAACAAGGAGGGACTTACTTAATTCCCACAATTTTTTATTGTTGTTGTTTTAAATTAGTTTATAAAATATTTGATTTTACTTATTACTATTATTATATTTTAATTTATTTTTTATTTCATTTGATTTTTCTTCTAGTTTTTTTCTTTTTTTTATTACATTAATTTGGTATATTTTATTTTAATTTGTATTATTTAATTTTGTTTTGTTAAAACTAATTATATTTTATTGAAGTTATATTCTTTTCTTTTATTTTGTAAAATATATTAATTTTTTTATTTAACTTAAGTTTAGTTTAATTTAATCTATATTATTTTAATTTATTTTGTTTTGTTTTAGAAAATTTAATTTTGTTTTTTTATTTTATTATATATCATTTCTTTATTTAATTTTATATTTTTGCTTAATTTCATTTTGATTGATTTAATTTTACTTTTTCTTTATTTTTTCTTTATTTTATCATGTTAATTTTAGTTTGCTTTGTTTAAGGTAATTTTTTTTTATATTGTAATTAAATTTTTTTCTATTTCTAGTTTTTTATTTATTTTGTTTTACATTATTTTAATTTATATTATTTTAATTTTTTTCATTTTGTTTAAGTTATGTTAATTTCTTATATATTTTTTTTATTTCATTATAATTTTATATTATAATGTTTGAGTTTATTTTAATTTTCTTTGTTTTATTAGGCTTAAGTTAATTTAGTTTTATTTTAGTTTTTATAATGTTATTTTATTTTATTCCATCTCTTTCTTTTTCTTTATTTTATTATATCTAAGTTTATTTCATTTTGGTGTGGTTTGTTTAAGTTAATTTTATTTTATTCATTTTATTTTAGTTTAGCTTATTTTATTTCAATTTATTTTATTTTTATTTGTTTCATTTCTTTTTCCTTTTTTGATTATGTGTAAGTCAATTTTATTTGATTTTCCTTAGTTTTATCTTTTATTTGATTAAGTTTATTATGTTTTACATTATTTTAATTTAATTTCTTTTCTTTTGATTTATAAAGTTTTTTATTTAATTTTTTTAAACTGTTATAATTTTATTTATTTCGTTTTTTTATTTTTTATTTTTATTTTTTTGTTTCAGTTCATTTCTTATTTCTTTAGTTCTTTTAGTTTTTTTCATTTAAGTAAATTTTTTTATTTTTTATATTATTATATAATAATTAATATAATTAATTTTTTTTTTTAATTGATTTTTTTCTTTTAATTTTAGTTTATTTTATTTTATATGCTGTGTTTAACAATATTTTTTTTAATTTAATTTAATTTACTGGATTTTACTTTTTACTTAGTTTAGGTTTATTTTATTTTGTTTTACATTATTTTAATTAATTCCTTTTATTATAATTTTTATATTTTTTTAAGTTTAATTTTTTTTATCTTAGTTTTATTTTATTTTGTTTTGTTCAAGTTAATTTTATTTTATTTATTTTATTGGATTTTCAATTTAATTAAATTTTTTTTGTTTTAATTTATTTTATTTTACTTGATCTTATTTTATATTCCAATATAGTTTTTTTACTTCACTTTGCTTAATTCTATTTCATTTCAGTTTTTAATTTGTATTTGTTTTATTATAATTCATTTCTTATATATTATATATGTAAGTGTTCGTCATCCATAGGCACAGCTGTGTTCCGAGCAAAGGGAAATCTCTAAAATATTTCATTGGTTTCAGACTTGGAGCATCAGGAATACCCGTCTACGAGCGGCCGAAATTTCTTATTATACCCACTCAAGGAGCTTCTTTTTTCCAGCAATTCTTCAAAAACAATTGAAAACAATAAATATATTTATAACGAAATTAATTAAGCCGAAAGTACTAAATATAATATTTGGTCTTGGGTAGATTTTATTATTTTTCAGTGAATTAAAAAATTAGCTTCAACATCAAAAACAAAAAAAATTGCTAGTGCTGAAAAGGTTTGTACGGTATTCTTATTTTCATAGTAGCATACTCATTAATGTCTATTTCCGAACAAAGAAAAGATCATTTTCAAAACCACTAGAATGGACAACTTTGTACAGCAAATGCCTTGAAATGGAATATTTCGCATACTCTACTGCAATTCACTTCTAGAAACTTGTTCAATGTCCTGTTTCACTTACACGGTGTGTCCTAAAAATAACCGTACTATATAAATCATACAACATACAGCGCCATCTATTGAAAATTTGCAACAATAAAAAGATACATTCATCGTCTTTAAAACGCACCTAACATCATGCAAGTCGGATGACAGATGTAAAAGTGACAGCCATTTCAATAAAACCAAAAGTCTGCTAATGGTTCAAAAATAAAATGGAACAAAGAGCAAATATAAAATTTTCTGTCAAACTTGAAAAAAAAAAATAATGAAAAAAGTTTATTGTGATGTTTGTATGAGTTGTACGCAAGTTTATACGTAGTTTACACGATTTAAAAATGGTCGTGAGGATTTAAATTACGACCCTAGAGCAGGACGTCCAGAAACTAGTTATCGTGCTGAACTGGTGGGAAAAGTCCGTGGAATCAAGGGTATCGATGCAAATTTTACTACGAGAAGGTTGGCTGAGGAATTGAGTACGAGTAAAACCACTATTTGGAGAATTTTAACTAAAGATTTTGGGGGAAAGAAAGGTCTGTGCGCGATTCGTTCCACATTAATTAAATGACGACCAAAAAATCGCTCGAATTTTTAATGAAAAAAGGGATTTCTCTCATCGACCATCCTCCGTATTCGCCTGATCTATCACCATGTGACTATTTTTTATTTCCAAAACTGATAACAAGATGAAGGGAGCATTTTATGATGAAATCCCAGCCATTCAAGCAGCCGTAACCGAGGTACTGAAGAAAATTTCTATAAATGACATAAAAAAATCTATGCATGTGCTGCGCTGGTTGATCGTTCCAAACTTTGTGTTGAGTCAAATGGAACCTATTTTGAATAAATAATAACTTCTAAAGATAATATAATTTGTATTTTATTTTATATCCAAAGAGTTCGGTTATTTTTGGGACACTCCGTTGTATGTTAAGTTTTCCTTGTTTTCTTAACAAAAGCTTTATATTAGCTCCGAATATATAATTGAATATTTTCAGAGGTCAAGATACTTTTCAATGCGTGTGGAAATATACTATTTTAATACACGCATTTATTTGCAAAGTGTTGATGCCATTGCAATTGTAAAAAAGTTTCTATTATAATAATATATTTAAAATTGAAAATTCAAAAATAAATGAATTTAATAATTCAAATAAGAATAATAAATAAAACTTATTATCCATTCGGTACCGAATGAGGGACCTTACATATATACATATCGCTTGAAACCGAATAAAAGTTTTCATGAATTGAGTCACAAAGCGCTGGCGATAACCAAGTTCCTAATTATTTCTGCATTTAGATATGTCACACACACACACACATACTTAACTAAAATCAAAATTTAAGATTTTTGCAAAAATTCATTTACGAAAATATTTTTGGAAGGGGGAAAAAATTATTACTTTATTAGCAAAATTCATTTTCATAAATCAGTACTTGTGTGTCTGCATTCGTATTTGCAAATGTTTAGTACAATTCTGTTACCATAACGAAATTAAAAATGGAAAGTTTCCCAGACAACGCGCAAAAGCAAAACTCTGCCAGCAAATTTGGAGCAAAGAAGGGTGTGTATATGTTTGACAATGAAAAACTCAAATATTTTTACAAAGCTATTAAATAATTTATTAATCGAAACCATTAATACATGTACTTTTGTATGTATATTTTAACTAATGCACTTATTTAATGAAACCATTTCACTCAATGGGTTCCGGTGTTAGAATTTATTTTTATTGCGCCTTTTGTCCCACAGCACTGCTTATGTTTGTGAATGCATACGTATGTGTGTGTTATTACAATTTACTTTAATTTTCGTTCATTCACTTGATGTCACTCTTATTACCATTCCACTTGTACATATCAACATCAACATTCACAGCTCTTCGTTTGGCGTAATTTTGGTTAGTTTGGTCACTCGAAATGCCTCCAGTATGTTGAGCTTTTGCTGCAGTTCAGATTTCTTTGCATCCGATACCTTACCCGCCTTCAGACGTTGCAGTCGCTTGGTTTCTTCCTCGACATAGTTGTAGCCCTTCTCATTGATTTTTCGCATATAAATTAGGTACACTTTGGCGTTGGCCACCATCGCAGTGTCAGCCGTTGTCAGCTCTTGCGCTAATTTTTCCGCTTTTTCGATTAACTGCAATTGTTCCGTATCCTCTTTGTTGGCATATTTTGTTACTAACTCTTCAAAATCCTTCAAACAGCCATCACGTCCGATATACAAGTCTGTATTCTTCGTAACGAATTGCTTCAAGTTGTCCAGAGTCACATCCAAGTGGGCGGGGAACCGTTCGTACTTATGAACGTTGCCATCTTTGAAGAGTAAAATGCCTGGAAAGTTCTTATCATCCACCTTGAAACGCAAGCCCAATTCTTTGTTTTCATTCTCGCCATAATCCTTGATGCCAACTGTTGCCACAAGCAGCTCTTTGGTGGCTTTGTGTGCTGCTTTTGAGAATGCCGCAAAAGCCTCGTGCTTATCACCATACGGGAAGGCAATATCGAATTTCACTAATGCGTATGGAAACCGCTCAACAGTCTGATCAAAGTTGATTTCATCCAGTTCCACACAGCCGGCACATGAACTGGTTGCAGTCGCTGGCGCCGCGATGAAAAACACAAAATAGGCAAGAATTTGTGCGAATTTCAGGTACTTTATTGACATTTCCATAATTAAAAATGTATTTTACTTAATTCTTTTAGACGTTCTAGTATATTCTGCATATGTATGCGTATACAAAATAGGAATGTGTCTGGCAAATAGATCTGGTGCTTTTTGTCGCCCTGTCACTTTCGGCGTATTTTGCTTACTGTATAAAAACCAGCTCTGGAAAAGAAAGGTAATTTGAACTGTTGCCATAACCACCGCACAGCTGCGCTCAACAATCCGCTGAATGCTCTTCGGAGCGCCAAATACGTGTACACTCCGGCAAACTCCATAGAACGCCACACATCAAACAACACTCGTAACAGCGCTAACCGGCGACTCCATACGTCTACTTTCGTTATTTGCACATTTAACCTACATACATACATACATACATATGTATATATTTTAATATACCAGTTGACTTTTCATTTCATTCTCTTCAGAAGCAGATCAACTTAAGTTTATTTAAAAATGTACAAATGTGTGTGGTACTATCCACGCTTGCTGTCAGGTTGAATGACTTGTAGCCATCGCAGATACTCGTAATGCTTATACTCGTATGTATGTATATCCACGTCAGTATTTAGAATCTAGTTAAAGGTAATATAGATACAATAATACATATTTATGTAATATCTACTTACATGTGCATATTCAGTCATAAGAACAGCAGCTAAGTCGAGCTGACAACAACAAGCCGCTCTTCGTATATTCAGCGCTTACACTTCTCACTCTCTTTCTTTTTACTCTCTTACAGATCGCAACAAATGCTGGCATGCGGCTTAATGAAAATTATGTTTGCTATTCTGAGGCTGTATTTGCTTTAGGCCTTTGATGGGTATAGAACAAGCCATTATTTCATGTCTTAGCCTTCTCTAATTAATTATGTTTTCTTTTTTCGGTGTTACTTCCACGTGTTGCATGCATTAAGAATGTTTCTTAACCTTCAAACGGTCACGCGGCGTTGAATCGACCGCGCTAAATACTCGTTTGTTTTCGTTCATTATTAAATTATTGTGTTTTGTTTTTTGATTTTATGGTTACATTTTTTCTGAATTTAAGTTATTTGTTTTCGACTTTTTTGATTCTAAACACAATGATAATATATCCTAATACAAAAAAAGCGATTATTAGTGAATAAGTGTTTTATTTTTCTAATATATCCCATAGGTCTTTCAACAACGCGCGGCCGCTGCCGTTACAAATGACCGGGCGACCACTTGAGGGTCGCATTTATATATGAAATGCGTCCATATGAAATTTGTTGAATACTTTTTAAGTCCATATTATCATATTATAAGTAAAAGCTTAAGTAAAGATGAAAAAAAATAAAATTATTATATATTATAGTTTTTTATGAAAAGAAAGTCTTGCTCCTATTGGAATATTTCTTGATAGATTATATTTTTTCGTTATTCCTTGGGGTGCTAGAATCAGCAAGCTTACTCTGGAGCATGCCAACTGGCGTTGGTAGAAGAAGCATCTTTCTCTATGGTTATTGTGAAGCATACTTTAATGGAATCTCAGGAATAAATGTAGATTTTCCTTGAAAACAACCTGTTGGTAGCCTTGATTACATTTCTAGATTTTCATCTATAATATGGTGCTAAATTTTGTGAATTTATATTGCGCAGTAACATAATTAATGTACCAATAATTAGTATTTCAACCATTAATTACAATATGTGAACTGGTCCACCATGAGACTTTAGTAAGTATATTCATCAGGAACACTATGTCAATGACCAGAGAGAGTTACCGGAAATTGTCTTTCAAACTGCTCGCGCTAAATTTTTTTCAGCGCTTTTTTTTTTGATAAGTTGGTAGCACTGTCCTTAATTACTATGCCATGTCCTTAATTCCTATGAGCGTGATTTGTTTGCAGCAGCTATTGAAATCAGTCGACCTCAGTTCCCTCTGCGAATTTTCTTTTACGGCCTCAAACGAGTTGAAACTGGTTACACGGAGGGATAACTTGAGTTTTGGAAACAAAAATAAGTGAACACGGTGGTTGATCGATGGTATTAAACGAGTTTTTGGTCTTAAAATCGTTCACAACTACGGCTCGGTGCAATGGCTCAATAGCGTCATGAAAAATCCATGAATTGTTGGCCCACAATTCTATCAGTTTACGACGGATGTTTTCGCGCAACCGCCCCAAGAAGCTAAAATCCTACTCTTTATTGACCGTCCTTCTCGTTGGAACGAATTCATAATATCCGGAAACTTTCTGGTTAACTTAACAGAAAATCCTGCCTGTGTCACCAAGAGCATAAAAAACACAAGCTTCGTTGCTTCAAAGTATTTATTTTGCAATAAATATGAGTTTGTTCATAGAGCCTTCAGCACCTTTGCTAAGGAATTGATACCATAACTGCCCGCAGTGGTATTTTAGATTGGAAGCTACAAAATTTTATGTTAATCAAAGCATAAATTGAAACTTATCTCACTGATCGGTGATTTCTTTCGGGTGCAAACGTCATACGCTGTATACACCCTCCAAGTATTGCTTCTCTACGATCTGGCTTTGTCCTGAATGACTGGCGGACCAACCTACAGCGTAAAGCCAAAAACATAGCAACAACTTTCGTATCAAAAGAAATGAAAACAGAATGTAATATAATGTATGTAATTACGAGCTCAAATGAGGAACTTTATTTTGACAAATGGATCCCTTTGGAAATATTTGTCATTTTTATTTTTTACTTGATCTATTACAAAAAACATTGTTTTTCCAATCAACATACTTCAAATGGACTTGAAACTCACTGAGCCAGGATTTTTGGAGTCATCGATTACGAACCAAAAATTCTGTTACTCCAAATTTGCTCCAAATTACAAAGCGAAAAATGCAATAAATTCATCTTTCAGTTAAAGTTTTTTTCTGTCGACCATTAATTTTCTAAAATCAGGCTCGAAAAATAATCCTCTTTGGTTATTGCGAATGAAAATTTGGAAAACGAATAGTTTAAATACTGGAATGCCAGCCCTGGCAGCCGCAGTAGCCAAGTGGTTAGGGTTGTGTAGTAAACATCCAAATTATAGAAAATTAATTTTTCTAGTTGCGGAGCCACTTTAATTTAAGCTGTAGGTCACGCCATTTATTGGAAAAGCATCAAGACGCAATACCACAATTTACAGGAGGAGCATGACAGAAATCGCGTTGGAGGCTACAAAACACCAATTACACATACATATATATGGCTTCATAAGTCCTAGTTTGATATGAAAAGGTGACAGGCAAATGTCTTGAGAATTTGTGGTGCAGTGGTGCGCAGGTGCTCAGACTCACATTGACCAAAATTTGGCCATTTTCTTCTCACATATCTATGGACGTTCAGTTGCTCGACTGTCCCCAAGCATTAAAAGCAAAATTTGTGGAATTTTGATTGCAACAGAAGGAAGAAATCAATTACCTGATAAAATAATATGCAAATGGATCATTGTCGGTACTTGGATACTGATGTTTAATGTCTGTTATTTTCACACCACAAACTTAACGAAACACTTTGAATCAACCTTGCCACACTGTTTTTGCATTTTCGTTACCGTTTAATCGTAAATACATAGAACCGCTTAGCTGCTACTAAAATGACTTGCTCAGCAATCTCATATTTATTATTATTTTGTTGACACGCGGGAACCAGAAAACTATAACCAATATTGCCAACCAGATTAAATATTGTTAAGAATCGTTCTAATCTCCCGGTTTCATAATGGTATTATTCTACAACGTTTACGTTCACCTCAATCGGAACTTAAAAGAATAGATTTTGTGAAATTTTTACGTCTAAAACTTGGACATGCTAGATTGACCCATCAACATTTGTTGGATAGCTTCTCTGTACTATATAGACTAATTACCTTCATTGAAAGTCCTCTCTGCAACAAGGAATTTTGTCTTGTTGCCTTCCTGGATATAGAAGGGGCTTTCAATAACATCTTACCAAGCTTAGTTACAGCAGCATTTCTATGTTTAGATGTCGACACTCCATTAGTGGACTTCATCAGCCAGCCGCTACTAAGCGCGAACCTGGAAGGATATCAAGTAGCCAGATATGTTAACAGAGGCACCCCACAGGGTGGAGTTCTCTCTCCTTTGCACTGGATACCCACAGTAAACTCGTTATTAACGCAAACGGAATGGGGTGGAGGCAAAGTAATTGCCTACGCCGATGACATCGCCATTGCATACAGAGGAAAGTTTCAACAAACCCTCTGTGACTGCAAGGGACACTAAGAAAAGTCTCGTCCTGGACTACCAAATGTGGCCTCTGTGTCAACTCAAACAAGGTGGAGCTCGTACTATTCACAAGAAGATATAACCCGCTATCAACCCACCAGTAAGGCACGACGTTCAACTCGGTCTGGGATCAAAAGCTAAATTTCTAGAAATCATCCTAGACAAGAAGCTTAAGTGGAAGGACAATATTATTCAAAGATATGAAAACGCTGTTACGGCGCTTTATATATGCAAAAGAGCAATAGGTAAGAAATAGGGTATAAACCCAAGAATTTGTGGATGGATCTACATCTCAGTAGTAAGACCAATACTCCTTTACGGTGCGATCGTATGGTGGCCAGCTATAAATAATGCTTCATATGCTAAACTCTTAGATAATATTCAAAGAAGTGCCTTAATGTCCACCAGTGGTGCACTTAGAAGCACGCCAGTTGAGGCTCTAAATGTGATACTCAATATTTTGCGACCGGATTTTGTGGTACATCAGTCGGCAGCAATAACTACAGTTCATCTGAGAGAGTCATATCAATGGTTTACCCAGGTATGGGGCCACTCGCCAATACTGGGTAAATATGACTTCATACAAAGTTATACGGATAGATGTGGTCCAATAGTTGTAACTGATAACCACTTTAGAATAAGAATTCTCAGCAGGGAAGAATGGACAGATAATTGTCATACTCCAAATGATAGCCTAGAAATATACACGGATGGGTCAAAGCTTGAGGGGAGAGTTGGTGGAGTTGTCTTCTCAGAAAACCCTCTTATGGAACTCTCGTTAAGGCTACCTGACCATTGCAGT